ACTTATTGCTGCCACCTATCTCCCAAGTCCAAAGTTAACTACAAAGCTTTATTAGATGGTTTTTGTCCATCTAATTCACATAATGATATTTTGAAACTAATAAGTTTTTAACTGTTGGCAGCTTCTCTGAATTCCTGGATTGCACCCTAGGCACCTCTACACATGGATTGTGAAGGCTGCTTGTAAGCAACACTCTTTTATTTTTATTTTTTTAATTGCATATATATAGAGATGGGGTCTCTCTATGTTGCTCAGGCTGGTCTCAAACTCCTGGGCTAAAGGTATCCTCCTGCCTTGGCCTCCCAAGTAACTAGGATTACAGGTGTGAATGGTACCTGGCCTTCATTACTTTTTTCTAGAAAGTAACTGTAGGGGTTGCTGCATGTTATTTACTTACATGAACAAGACACTGGATCTTGGTGCATTTGCCCAAGTCATATTTGGGCACAGAGATCACAATGGTTATTATGGAATATAGAGTTTCTGCTGGTTGTTACCAAGCCGTGGCCATTGGTGGTGGGCATGTCATGGGAAGTGTTAGAAAGGAGCACAGCTGTTCACTCAACTGGAAACTTCGATTCAGTAAAATTCCAGTAACAGCTAGTCAGCTAACCCTTGGTTGAGGTACAATGCTTTTATGTAGAAAGTGTTTATTCAGGGGTGGGTATGGTGACTCACATCTGTAATCCTAGCACTCTGGGAGGCTAAGGTGGGAGGATTGCTTGAGTCCAGGAGTTCAAGACCAGTCTAGGCAGCATAGTGAAACCTTATCTCCATAAAAAAAATAAAAAAAATTAGCCAGGAATGGTGGCATGTGTGTAGTCCTAGCTACTTGGGAGGTTGAGTGGAAGGACTGCTTGAACCCAGGAGGTTGAGATTGAGGTGAGCTGGGTTCACACCACTGCACTCCAGCCTGGGTAACAGAGTGAGACTCTGACTCAAAAAATATAATAAAATAAAAAGTGTTTACTCAAAATTGATGCTATATAATTAATGATCGGTGAAATATTTGACAATAAGAGATATTTTAACAAAAAGCTGGGGGCACTGTATATGTCTTCATAGATCAAAATAATATTTCTGACATCAAAAGTAGTGGTATAAACAGATGCTGAAAGAGTAAGTGACAAAAAAAAAAAAATTAGCTGGGCGTGGTGGTGCATGCCTATAATCCCAGCTACTTGGAAGGCTGAGGCGGATGGATCACCTGAGCCCAGCAAGTTGAGGTTGTGCTGACTGTGACCATGCCACTGCACTCCAGCCTGGGTGACAGAGTGAGATTCCTACCAAAAAAAAAAAAAAAATTAAGTGAAAAGTTTAGCTCTCCTGTGATTTAAGCATCTAACTCTGGATCCTCGAATGAGATCCCATATTTGCTGTCTGGAATAGTACAGAAAACCCTGCTTCAGCGATTATGTTATAGTATTTGCCCCAAAGGCACAACTTAGAGAATCTGAAGAAACTCATGGAATTTCTGATGCTTTCTTTGATTTCTACAAAATGTGGGAACTTAAAAGTTTTATGCTGTCCAGGCGTGATAGCTCATGCATGTAGTTCCAGCACTTTGGGAGGCCATGGTGAGAGGATTGCTTGAGTCCAGGAGTTTGAGGCCAGCCTGGGCAACATATTGAGACTCCATCTCTAAATATATACAATTAAAAAAATAAAATAAAATAAAGGAGTGCTGCTTATAATGTGACCAACCTAGACAACATAGTGAGAACTTGTCTCTCTAAAAAAAAACAAACAGCCGGGCTTGGTGGCTCAGCCTGTAATCCCGCGCCTTTGGGAGGCTGAGGTGAGTGGATTGCCTGAGCCCGCGGGTTCGAGACCCACCTGGGCAGCAAGACCTTATCTCTACAATCAATCAAAAAATCAACTGGGCGTGGTAGCATGCGCCTGTAATTCCGGCTACTCAGAAAGCTGAGGCGGAAGGATCGCCGGAGCCCAGCAGGTCGAGCCTGCGGTGGCCGGGAGCGGCCACTGCACTCCAGCCTGGGCGACAGAGTGAGACTCCAACTCAAAAAAACCAAACAAACAAACAAACAAAACAAACAAATTAGCTGGGCATGGTGGCGTGTGCCTGTAGTCCCAGCTACTTGAGCTGACATGGGAGAATCACTTGAACCCAGGAAGTTGAGGCTGCAGTGAGCCATGATCGTGCCATTGCACTACAACCAGGGTGACATAACGAGACTCTGTCTCAAAAAAAAAAAAAGTTTGATGCTGACCTTTTATGTGAATAAACTTATGGGGAGGATTAAGACAAAATGGGGAGAATTGTTTCTTCTAAACATATCAAATCCTGTAAGCCAGGGATCAGCCTAATTTTAAAGTATAATTCAGGCTTTTTATCTCAAAAACTTAAGTGTCTGTTGGGTACCATTTTGCATCTATTTAAACCCATCTATGAAAATTATTTTATAATTTTGGAGGTGTAGATGACCTTCCTAAGCGTGGAATGAAATCCTGAAACCATATAGCAAAAGATGACTGATTTGAGTGTGAAAAATATGAAAGGTATTATACAAATCATGAATAGCTGCAAGATGGTACTATTACTCCATGAAAGGAAAACTTTCTGCATGAGCGAATGACTAATTATGTGCTAAGGTTGGAAAGGGGTGATTAATGGAAAAACAGACATGTATCAGGCCACTGGATATCACATCAGTTTCATTAATAGGAAAACTGAGTGGGACAAGGGGCTTTGGAGCTTGAGCCAGATGTACTTCCCAATACATCCCCCCCGAATTAAATGTACTAGCCTGGTCACTGGCACCGCAAGCCATCTCTAGGTTCACCTCACAGGAAAGGGGGAGTTGAGAATTAGTGTGGAGAACTGGCCGCTCCAAGAGAGGGATGACCCAGAACTCATTCTCCAAATCTTACCAATCAGGAAAGTTACTTTTTTTTTGCTTACAGAAGAGGGAGTGGGAACAGAGACTATATCATCCTGGGAGTACATGCCTCCTCCTTGCTGTGAAAATGGGAGAAGTGAATAAGCATTCCCTGCCAACCTATGCAAGACTGAACTTATTTCAATATTTTAGTGAGGCAATGGCT